AAATTTTATCGACCTACAGGAACATTAATCCTATGATTCAATTCCCTACATGAAATCGATCATACCCACAGTTATAGAATTGAACCCCACCCTTACCTTAGAATAGAGGCCAATTCCACGCTTCCGGTTCCGGTTCTGGTTTACGGTAACTCTCCTGCAACTTTCTTCCAATTTCTCTGATGGGAAATTCTTCTGTTATCCATGTCTCTCAACCACGCTATTTTCTTCCTTTACAGTTTCTCTTTTTGTGAAAACTTCCCAATTGAATTGAGCGTAATGGAATATGGGGATACGTTACTAAATTTTTAACATTCAGGTGGCCACGTCCCAATTCTGTTTTTAATTTGGATTTTTCGTTACTATGACGAGCGTAACAAGTTCCTGACGAGCGTCACGACCGTGACGATCGTCACATTCCTGTGACGACCGTCATATCAGCAAAATTTTATTTTTCTTAGACAAAACATTTCTTAAGCTTTCCAACGCTTCGAACAGGGACTAAAACCGACTTACGGATCAAGAGATATGAATTTTCGAAGTTTTCCCTAAAACTGCTACGGGATTCTGCACTTTTGCCCGAAAATTCGACCGATTCAATTCCTTTCTTCGAAACAAACACATTTTCAAATACGACTACGACGCAACGAGACACGAAAAATTTATAACTAAATTTAATCGAAATAAAATGGGCGTTACAGAAATAATGCATCACTTAAAAAGTTTTTAATGAGTGAACTCAAATAAAAATAATCGGGTAAGTGTATAAAACAGTTATAGTAAATAATACCTCAATTAGCTTGTTCCAAACTTCATCTTTGGCAATTCACATATTTGTTGTTGAATCCCATCCAAATCCACTCAAGCCATTATGGAAAAGGTCATAACAAGAATTGAACTTTGTTTTGATGTGTTTCATGTGATCTTTTATTTTTTCTTTGGAAATTAGTTTGTCCGGAAAGTGAGTCTTCAATTCTTTAAGAATGCTATCCATAGCACTTATTGTCACACTATTACCGTTTTTATTTCCTAATGTTTGTTTATGCAAATATGCATCAAGCAAAACTTCATCCATAGCAGTTCTCCAATTACATGTTTCTAGACTTTTGAGTTTCCTCGACCTCTTTAAACTTGCTTCCATGTCTATTATTAAAAAACACAATGAAGAATATAATAACTTATGCACAAATTCAAATGTAAAGGTTCATCATACACTAAAATTCATTCCACAAATTACAAATAAAAAATTCAATCCAAATAAAATTCTTCAAAACATTATTCATAAGAGTAACAAATCATTAAGAATAATTTTAATAATCTAGCCACATAGAACCAGCAACATTATCTCTAATTGGCTCTCCACTAATCATATCATCGTTTTCTTCTCTATGATCTTGATGACCCTCTTGAACATCTCTTTCATTTGCAAGCTCATCTTGCACCTCATCAATTAGAGTTTGATTGGGGTTTTCACCCATCAAATAGTTGTGTAAAATGCAACAAGCAAGGATGATTTTATTTTGAGTTTTAATACCAAATATAGGCTCTTTTGCAGTTTGTAAAATTGAAAATCTTTTCTTCAACACTCCAAATGCACATTCAATAGACATTCGTAATGACGAATATCGATAATTGAATAACTCACGAGGGTTTCGAGGTAGATTTCTAGAGTATTCTTGTAAGTGGTATCGTTCTCCCCTATACGGTGTAATGAGACATGCTTTTAAAGGAAATTCCGCATCACCCAGATAATATTTTCCTAAATAAAAAAATAATGAGTCCATTAGTTTACCTAATCTAAATACTTATACAAATATTTTTTATTACTTTTTATTACCTTGTGGAACTTTAAGAGGGTGCGCACGTGCCAACGCACTCTTAACCATTCTTGAGTCAGATGCAGTTCCTTCCCATCCAACCAAGACATATATAAATTTCAAGTCAAATGAGCACGCAGCTAACACATTTTGTGTGGGATAATCTTTTCTACCACGATATCTAGGTGCGAGTTCTATTGGAACTTTAACATGCACATGCGTGCAATCAATTGCTCCAATACAGTCCTGACATTAAATTTATATATTAAAAGTGTACAAGAAAACTAATCAATATTTGTATAAGACAAAAAATTTGTTTACCTTAAAATACGGGTAGAATCTATGGCTGTTAAGTATTTGTGGAGACACTTGTGTTCCATCAGGTTGTTTTAAAAAATTTCCCTCCACCTCTATCAAAGCATCTAGCACTCTATGAAAATAACGACTAACAGTTTCATCGGAGCGTCTAAAAAAGAAGGACATCACACGGTTTCTAACATTATGTCCTACTATATGAAGAAATTTTGCTACTTGTTCTTTGATAGACGTTCTTCGTGTATGTGTAAGTCCACCTTGATCTTGTAATAAGTTGCACAAGTTTAAGAAAGCTTTGGGACCCATACGAATGATATCATAACATCGCTCACTTCCTACAATATGTTTCATCAACTCATTTCTACCTTTCTCTCTTTACTCTGTGATTCTATAAGGTATTTGGGATCTTCTACGCTTGTTTTTTAGCGAACATATTAGAACAATAATGATAGATACTTGAAGAATCACCATTTGAACCAATTTCATATACTTGATTCTTATGTCTTCGTTAGTCATCTATAATAAATTAAACAGTAAAATTTACTCTAATTATAAATCCATCTACAAATAAATAAAATTAAAATATTTATAACAAATAAAATAAATCATATCAAAATCAGAACAAATAGATTAAGAATTTTTAAAACAAATCATATATATAATTTCAGTCCCAAATTAATTAAGAATCTTTATAGCAAATTACAACTTATGTTAGTAATAATTATTTTTCTATTATACTACATAATAGGAACAATAGTTTTGCAACAAATCTAATTTCTACTTTTGTTCTTAATAAAAAATTAATTTAACATACAAAACACTATAAAGTAACATAAATCATAATTTTAGATTTTGTTTTTAGTAACTATACCTAATTTCTGAAAAATAAAAAAGACATGAACATGAAGATAAATCAAGATATTTAATTTAATAGAGCATACATATAAATACAGGTTAAAAAATGAGAAGAAATATGATGGATCTTGTTAGGGTAGAAGAAAGATAGACTCTTTGCAAGCAAGAAGAAGTCTGTGAAGGAGAAAAGCTGCAGTGAATGAATAGAAAAATATCACGTTAATTGAAATAAGAAATAAAAACGGTTAATAATAAAAGTGAAAATTTGGAGGATAAAATTGTAATTGTTTTATTAATTGATTTCATTCCATTGGATACATCCCAATTTGGGGAATGAAAAATGGACCAAAATAGTGGTATTGGATGAAATGTGTTCCATCATACTCCATTCCATTCCATTCAATTTTTATAAATCCAAACAATAGAACATAACTCCACTTCACTCTATTTCATTTCATCCCTTTTCATCAATCTAAACAGACCTTAAATTATAACATTGAATATAATCTAATGATTAATTAATTAAAATACTAATTTAATTATTAGATTATATTCAATTCAAAAATTATAATTTTGAGTAAATTTTTAGAATAAGTTGATTCTTACTTTAATTATGTCACGAAATAAAAAACTAATATCAAATTAATTATGTTTTTCACACATCCATATGACACTTAAATATTGTTAGGTTTCTTTCAACTTAAATACATGATTTTAAAATTGAAATAAGATGAAAGATGAATCTTTCAGAGTTGAAGTGGAAGAAAATCGTTTAATAAAAAAGATTATACAAATTAAAAATAAAATTAATGTTGATAATGTTGATCAAATTTAAGAAAACACATGGATAAAATTCTATTGTAGAAAAACACACATTTAACACTTAAAAGATTAAGACCAACACAATACTACAATAATCACATAAGACTATCCTCTCTTTTTCTATGCCTGCAATTTTGGGTGTTTAAGAAGAAGAATAAAAGTGACAAATTATAAAAGCAAGAAGTTGTAGTCAGAATTTAACAACACTGATGCTTAAGACATAATTCATCTAACAATGCATCATATATTTCATCACTACCGCTGTAAAGCAATGAAAAACACTATGCCATGACAATGAGTACTAAACAGTCATAAATCTTTTGTGTGCAATTAACGTGCTGAGTTTTATTTAACTTAAACTAAGAATTAATATATTATTAACAAAATGAAACAATCATCGTTGTTTTTGCATGAAAAAGTATTTGGAAGTATTTCATGTATTTAGTGAAGTGAAATGAAAATTTTAAGAAATTATAAATCTCACAACATTAGTCAAATTTATGTAATAAATGAAATGAAAATTTTGAAAAACAATAAATCTCAGAACATTTATATTTGTTTGGTGTGGTTTGTGAACTGAAACACAGCCAAACTTAAAATTAGAAAAAATATTAATAAAAGAAGCACAACCAAACTTAAAATCAGAAAAAATATTTACAAATTCTTCATGTCACCAATAACCACAATATATATTATGTTCCTTCAATTTCTTTACATAATAGCTAAAATGTTGAGTAAATAGGAAAAGTGATAGAGCAATTTTTATTTACACTGGCAGTTAAAAAAAAGAAAAATGTTCATTCAACACTGATTTGTACATTTACACTGTAAGTTATACTATAAAAATACTCTAATCATTTTTTTAATAATTTATTTTTTCACTTTAGTTTTCTAGTTTTCATACAGCACAAAAACATGAGTATGTATACGGTGTAAGTGGATATGATGTAATAAAATGGTGTAACCATAGCATCTTAAAAAAAGTGATGGAACCGTTTTTGTTTTTAAAAGTTATTTTAGAAATAATTATATGATAATTTAGAAGATATTCAGGGGCATTTTGGTATTCTCCTTAAATTTCTTCAATTCCAAAACCCTGTCATAGTATCGTAAACTGTTGTCATAGTATCGTATAGATTTTCCCCTCTCTCGAACCTGTTAAGGGTTCTTCAATCACCCATCGTGTTTTCAAAAATGGCAGAATCGCGGTTCAAGCAATACACATACACCCCCCAAAAACCTCTACCCCTCCCCCCTCCCTGTGTAATACCAAAACCCAACCCCTTCGATATGATCCGCGTCGAAAATGAGAGCGTCTTCTCGGCTATCCACGTCGAAGAGGAGAGCGTCTTCCCGGTAATCGACGATGGCGTGTACCAACCAAAGTCCAAGAGAACCCGCGCCTCGGCTATCCACGTCGAAGAGGAGAGCGTCTTCCCGGTAATCGACGATGGCGTGTACCAACCAAAGTCCAAGAGAACCCGCGCCGCCTATGAGAAACTCCTTAGCCTCATCCAGCAGCCCGTCCCCGGTCATCCACTTGCCGGTCAGCCGCTCAGTACAGTCAGGTTCGTCGCCGATAAAATACTTGAAATTCTAAAAAACGACGCCGTTAGTATCCAGGACAAGAAGATCAACATTGAGATGCTTCTTAACCCTATCCCTAACCATGTTTTTGATCAGCTTGTCTCAATTGGTAAGCATATAACTGATTTCTATGGGTTTGCTGCTGGTCATGTTGATGGCGGCATTGTTGATGGTGTCAGTAAATTATGCATTTGCAGCAATAGATAGAGCATTTTGATATAGTTACTACCTCAAGAAGTTATGTGAATAGGTTGGTTATTGCAACACTAGACCTTCTTTTTGTTCATTTTCTTTAGGATGAATTGAATGTTGATAATTGTTTAACTGACTTATCAAAGTGTTAATTTTCTAATTTGGAAGGTTATGTTATATGATTATCATTATATTATTTTGGAGTCTTGTTTAATTTGAGATTTATTGTTGCTCGCATGGTTTTAAATTGTGGTTGCGGATGAGGTTCTGGGTGTTGCAATTGCGGTCATTGTGGTTGCGGATGAGGTTCTGGGTGTTGCAATTGCGGTCATTGTGTTTGCTGCGATGCGGTCTGATGCTATTGCGAAGGTTACTGCAACAGAAATATTGCGGTCTGATGCTATTGTGAAGGTTACTGCAACAAAAATATTGCGGTCTGATGCTATTGCGAAGGTTACTGCAACAGAAATATTGCGGTCTGATGCTATTGCGAAGGTTACTGCAACATATTGCGGTCTGATGCTATTGCTAAGGTTACTGCATCAGAAATATTGCAGCTGCAATTGCGGTTGCAGACTGCAATTTAAACTATGGTTGCTAGAACACATGCTTATGTTACACTACTATGAGTCAGCTGCAATTCTTTTTTCCATTGGAGATTTTCTATTTGGTTATTCTCACAATGGTGTTAAGCTTTGAGCACAATTCATAATTAACACTGTTTTTGTTTCATTATACGTGATAGTGTACAAGTCAAGTCATTCTAAAGCTTTGAATATAGTTTTCATTTCAAACGTTCAATTTTTCCTTGTTAGCCAAGTTTTTCCTCCACGAGGGAGGGAGAAAAAGATTTTGTTACTGTAAGTTACTCTTCTGTCTGATGCATTGTTTTTTCCAACCATATTTGCAATGCACTTCCCTACAAATGACTTCTTGGCTCATATTTTTTAAGCTCTTGTTTCCACTGTTTATAGTACCTATGCATTAATCATAAAATGGAATTTAGCTCTGGGGATTGTTGTGTTCTCAGGATATTCTTCCAACCATACTGATTAGAAGTGTCTTTCCTCCAATGGACACATTTATATATACAAAATTGTTTATGTTTAACCAATATAAATTTCCATATCTATTTTTGTTTCATACTACTTCCATGAATTCATTCGCCGCCTCTTTGTCCTAGAAGGTCTCTTTGTCTTAGAAGGTAACACTGTAGGCTGTTTATGTTAAAACTGTGATCTGTGGGGCACTAATTGCTACATTAGAAATGAAGTGAATAGCTTGACTATTGGAACACCGAATAGAAGAATTGAATGGAAACATAACTGGACTGGACGTAAATGCATAATTTTGATTTTGATGTGAATCATTTGTTCATGCTGTATTCATCTTGAAAAAGAAAAACTGTTGCACTAATCCTAGGAGCCTGCCTGCTCATGAAGTATATTCCTGAATAAGCTTTAAGCATAAGCTTTTTATTTGTTACAAAATCATTCTGTAACATGCATTTTATTTGTCATACAAGTCAAGGATGAGAAGCTTGTTAAACAAACTATATTTTTAAGGGTTAAATATGTTTTTTGTCCCTATAAATAACTCAAAATTCGGTTTTAGGCCCTATGAAAGTTTCCTTCAAAGAATAGTCTTCTAAAGTTTTCCGTCTACAATTTTGGTCTCAGCCATTTATTTGGTTAACAGAAGCTGACGTGGCACGCCATGTCACTTAACTATAAAATATGAGTTAGATTGCGGGGGTTACAATCCTCCATAAATTTGAAAGTGGAAGCAAGTTCAGCTATGAGCACGTAGTGATGTGTGTGGCTTCTCAGCATAAATTGAGTTTATCTTGGCATGTTCTTCACTTTCTTTCTCACTTCTTTCTCTCAAACATTCATTTCTTCACCTTCTTCCTCATTCGAACAATTTTTGAATGCCATTCCTCCCCAAAAAAGTTTTGAGCATTTCTTAAAGAAAGTCAGTGAATAAAGTCATATTTGAATCGAGAAAGGAAAGGTCGCCAAAGGATTGAAATTGTCAATTCCAGATTGGTTAATGAGTTGGCTGATGTTAAGTTGTTAGTAAAATGCTGCATTTGTACAAATGATGTGTTGAAACGGGCAACCATGCAAATTATGTTTGCTTTGATTAAACTTGCCCAAAAATTTCGTTCTGATTCTGATTATATACATCAATATGTAGAGTAATATCCATGCTGTTTTTAGATCTTTTGTTTTATCATTTCATGCAGAGTAATATTGATTATACATAGAGTAACATCAACCATATGTGTGAAAGAAGACTTGGTTTTTAGAGCTTCATGCAGACATATTAATTATACATAGAGTAACATCAGAATGATATGATATATGATTATTTGTTGCTTCACACTTTTTAACTACTCTTGGAACAATATGATTATTGCTTATATGGGGTCTTTGAACACCGTCTGTTACCAAGCCTGTTCAGTCTTGCATTGGTTATTCAAGCAAGGTGTGTTGTCTTGTATAATCTATCTAAATATAGGAATTTGTTTGAGTTATAAGGTCTTTTACATTTGGGTTTTCAAGGAAGGTTAATAGTTGTGATTGGTTTTGTTAGAACATGTGTTTGATGTGAGTTTGTTTGTTATGCCATATTTGATATGCAATAAAGTTGATTTATTCAGGGCATCTGTTGGAATATGGGATAATTTGTTTGATGTGTTTGATGTGAGTTTGTTTGTTATCCCGGGTATAATTTGTTTGGTGGAGAGATATGGAAGTTTAACTGAAACCCGCATGATATGGTTTATGATGTGCCGTTGTGAGAGGGAATTTGAAGCATCAATTATATTTGGCAACTATTCTGCTAGCTGATGTAGCAGCAATAGTAGTAGTATAAAAGTGAATTTTAGTTTGTTTTCTAAAGAATAGAGCTGACAACTCTATATGTCTATGAAACATGGCCTACATTACCTATTTCCTCAATAAAAAATCTCAAGAGTCAGTGAGTAATACTCCCATACTCACATAATAAGTTGTGCTTTAATTCCATTCCCTTTTTTATTTGTATGAAGTGCGCCTCTTTTTTTATATATAATTAACTTATTTCAGTATGGAGTGTCATAGATTGGGAGCTCTAAGAGAGATTTGCCACAATGCTTTGTGTCTAAGTTAGGAAAGATGAAAGACAGTTAAGTTTTAGTTGAGCAAAAACACAAACACCTTATTTGCATTCTCCTGAACATTACAATTTCATGGTTGATATATTGGATAAATTCAAGGAGTTTAATCTCATCTTGGAGTTAGTGAAAGATAAACAACATAGTTTTGAGAATGCGCACAAGGTTATGGAGGAGAGGAAGGAACATGGGTTCGAGCAACACAATGAAGGAGAAGAGGAAGAACAAGATGAATAAGAATAAGATAACTGTATGTAGGATGCTTTATAATTCCGTAATCTGACACATTTTCTGTAGTCAAACAAGGTGTTGACTTGAAGTAATGTGGCGTTTCATGTCAGTTTTCGTTAGAGGAAATAAATAGTAGAGATCAAAAGTGTGAACGGAAAACTTTAGGGATATTTCTAAGGAACTCAGGTATATTTAACTCTATTTGTAATTAGTCTAAAGTTTATTTAAATATCAAAGATTTTTGCTTTTAAACTCGACATTTCTCAGTTGTGAGTCTTGCATCTAACCAAGCTTATCCCATTGATGTTTGAGGCTTGCTTCTAAGCTTTATCCCATTGATGCTTTCCAAAACCAGATTCAAAGATTCAAAGACTCGTAGATTTGACGTAAATGGTTTATTTATGTCATAATAACTAGATGGAAATGGTGACAGTGGCAGAAGATTAGAAATCTGAAATTGTTGCTGTATCTTATGCTCGTGGGAATCTGAAATGGTTTGTGCTGTATATTTGGTTTTTAGATGACCGCAAATTGTATCTTGAAGCTCAATTTGAATGACAGATGATTAGAAATCTAAAATTGTTGTATATCTTATTTTCAGTAGCATGTGACTCAACTTGTTTATCTTTGAATTTGAGTATAGTTTTGCAGATTTGTTCCCAGGGTTAACCTATTCCATGAATGAGATTTAACACTGCTTTGTAGACTCCTATGGTCGTATTGCTTTAGCATTTCATTTTTTGTTTTTCCAATAGCGAATGTAGACATTGGTTTAGCACGATAGAATGACAGCATGCTGCAACAGTTAATTTTATTAATTTTACCTTTGCAGGTGATGAAGACGTTTTTATTTGTGCCTTTTGCCTTTGGAGGAGAAACAAAAACCTTCTACTCCTACTAAATTTCTTAGGAATTTCTTATCTCATTCTTTTCTTAGGAATTTCTTATCTCATTCCTTAGTGTGATAAAATATCCTATTAAAAATTGAAAATGTCTTTTAAATTTTAGATGTATTTTTCGACGCATCATGCACTATCTTATGACTCATTAAACTGAGTGTCATTTTAAAATAAATCAAAATTTTACTTTAGAGATGCATTTTCGGGTATTTTCATTAAATATATTAATATTTGAGTAGTCTAATAGATATTCTGAAGATGCGTCTATTAAATATATTAATATTTGAGTAGTCTAATAGATATTCTGAAGATGCACCTATGGAGATTTGAGATGGGATTTTGAAATTTTGGTCATCTTTACATATTGAATATTTTTGGAAATACGTTTTTGAAATAAATTGATAAAATACTCACTTGCATTATCAAAGACTCATAATTGTTTTCCATTCCAAACCTTTTTCAAAAACATTCCATTCTCAATTAATATTTTCACTTCAAATCTTTATTCTTGTGTTTCATCACATCAAAAAGAGAAAAAAAAGTTAAAATTTTAGGTAAAGATCATTTATATCAAGCTTCATTACTCACATTAAACTTGTTTTTAGTCTGAAAAAATATTTGTATAATTTCGAGATGAATATCCAGATTTTGTATGAACTTTTACAGAGATACATCTCCGTAGGCCGTCTATTCTCATTTTTTAGCTCTATTTACAATATTAATCGTTTTAATTTTTTTAAAATTGTAATTTTTTTATTAGATATGATGCACCTATGTTTTTTTTTCCAAACATGTTGTGTCTTCGGATGCCAAAGGTGTTGTTGTGAAAGAAGTAGATGTTGGCAGCCAATTTAAAAATAAGCAAGAATTTGAATTTCGTGATCAGATGCTTCAGTGGATTCTTATAGAGGCCTGAAAACTGGGATTTGATGTGGTAATTAGAAGGTCCGATAATGATTTGAATAGAAAGTGCATTTATGAAATGACATGTGGAAGAAGTGGGAAATATAGACCTCATCTTCAGAATTTTAAACAAGATGACATCAGTTCAAGAAAATGTGAGTGTTTCTTTAAGTTGTGTGGTTATATGTTGACAAATATGAAATGGAGATTTAATGTCATATGTGGTTTACATAACCATGACTTGTGTGAAAAGTTAGTCGATCATCCAATTGTGTGTCACCCCATGTTGGAAGAGGAGTAATGCGTTTCAGACATGATATTGAATTTGGTTCAAACGAAAAACATACTTGCAACTTTGAAATGTAAAAGATCCAAAAATATCTCAAATATCAAG